TTCTGAATTCCCAAATTCTTTATTATCCTGATTCCGGTGGGCGCAGCCATCACTTCAGCCTTTGTGGAGTCAGCCCAACTGATTGGACCACTAAAAGTCCGGCAGAGATTGCCCCTTTCGTCCCTTACTGTACCACCAATACCTGCAAAGCCCGGATTGCCTAAGGCACAACCGTCAAAATTAAGGGTTATCGTACCATCACTGAAACGGGATGCCTCAAGGGAGTTTGCTGAGGATGAGGCAGAAACAGAAAGGGGTGAATATCTTTGGTAATATCATTGACTGAAAGTCCTTTAAACAGAGCTGAATTCACCAGCCAAAGGATGCAACGATAGGTAATATCTGAGATTAACTCCTCCAAGGTTCTGCTTTTATTGTCAAAGATATGGATGTTTCTTTCTTCCCAAACACTCCACATTACTGCATGAGGCACTGATTGCCAAAAGACTTTACCCCTTTTGCTAAGCCCTATTCCTTGCCATTGATTCAAGTTGTCCATAATGTGATTTGGAAAAACCCAGCTGTACCCTGCCATATTCAAGAAGTGGGACCATATCCTGAGTGAAGCTGCAATGAAGGAGAATATGATCTGCTGATTCACCCACACTGGACATAAAATATAAACATGAGGACAAATGGAGCGTCTTCCCAAAAGTTTTTTCTGTAGGAGATCACAAGTATTAAGTTTCTGGAGACAGGCTTCCCATACAAAGAAGCAAATTCTTGAGGGGATGTGGCTGCACCAAATTTTCTTGTAAGGAAAAGAGGGATGCTGATCTTCAGCAGTCAAAGCCCTGAACATAGACTTAGAAGAGAATTCGCCATTTGGGTGGAGGGTCCATATTCGGGTGTCAGAATGAGAGGGGGATATGTAGGCATCTTTGAGGGTTTGGATTAAGGCTATTAAATCAGAAATCTCCGAGTCCCTTAGGGGTCTTCTGAGGTGGAGGTTTAAAGAATTCTCGGCGGATTGGTTTGGGAGGCAAGCAGAAATAGAGGCTTCTTGGTCAAGGGTGAGGTTAAACAGCCTAGGGAAAGAGGCTTCCATGGTAGATTTCCCCCCACCAAAGATCTTTCCAGAATCTAATTCTAAACCCATTTCCCACTTCATACCTTATGAAAGGAAAGAAAGAAGTATGAATGGAACATATACCTTTCCAAGGGTTGGTGGCCTTTATCCTGTTCAAATGGAGATTGCAATCCCACCTGTTTGTATTTCGTCCGTATTTACTTGAGATGACAGCAGTCCAAAGAGCATTAGGTTCTTTCGGAAATCTATAGAGCCATTTGCCTAGGAGAGAACAAATTTTCTCTTTAAGTTGTCCAATACCCAACCCGCCTTCCTCTTTTGGTCTGGATACTTGTTTATAGCTGACTAAATGGTTTCTCTTATCTCCACCTCCTTCCCAAAGAAAATTCCTTTGAAGCTTCTCAATCTGATTTCTGACTTTGGTCGGAATCTGGAAGGCAGAGAGAAAGTAGACCGACAGATAACACTTTTTCCAAGTCGATAATTTCTTCTCGCATTTCTCCATCACAGGACTCCAAAAGTTGAGGGATTTTGGATTCCCTCCCAGAGGCATCCCAACGTAGGTAATGGGGAGATTCTCCACTTTGCACCCCAATAAAGATTTGCAATTTTCTAGAAGTTCCACTTCCACTGAGTTGATAGCCACAATACTACTTTATCAGAAATTAACTTTCAGACCAGTGAGAATCTCGAAACATTTGATTACCATTTTAGTGTTTGTGATGTTGGTTATGGAGGCATCCAAGAATAGGATTATGTCATCGGCGAACTGTAAGCGAGAGATGTGAAGTTTATCCCTACCCACTTCAAAACCTTTCACCAAGTTGAGAAGAATTGACTTGTCAAAGAGATAATTAAATATATCCATCACCTTGTCTTAGACCCCTGCTAGCCTTGAAATAACCTTTCGCATCACCATTTATCAATATTGAAAACCAAGGAGAGCCAATACAACCTTTAATCCACCTGATCCAGTTTCTCCCAAAACCTCTTAGCCTTAAGCAGTCAAGAATGCAGTCCCAATCCACTTTGTCATACGCCTTTTCAAGATCAAGTTTCACAAGGACCCCCGGGATCCCAGAGGATTTTGTCTTCTACACACTCATTTGCAATAAGAATGCTGTCTACAATTTGTCTTCCTTTTACAAAAGCAAACTGATTTGGGGAAATTAGATCTTCAAGGACTTCTTTAAGTCTGTAGGCCAGAACCTTCACCAAAAATCCTTCGATTACTACCTCCACCTTTCTTGGAATCTCATCAGGTTTTACCCCACTAAGCTTCAATGCTACTGAATGGAGATCGAACCCAAAGAACTCATCTAACCAGGCGTTACAGATGGAGGTGATTGACTGAAACAGGGTTTCCTTCCATAGATGAAGGGGCAGACCCAAACATCTAATGACAACATTATCCTCGACTTCAAGATTAATTGAATTTGATAGCGGACACCACTTCAAAACTGTAACAACAACTTCATTTAACTAAAAGTTCAAAGCGTTCACAGCGTCTTTGTTTACATTCATCTCCAATAATACCTTCTGCTTTTCAAAAGGAGTGATAATGATCTGGTCCTTCAAATTCAGTTTCTGTAGAATTATTTCTGCAACTTTTCTCCAGTTAGTTGGTGGAGAAGAGGTCTTGACCATATACTTTCTCCCCCAGTCCTCTCTGCCACCAGAGGTTATCAGCGTGCTCTTTCCAGATGCCTTTGCATCTATAGAAACTCCTGTTCAATAGACTCCCTCTCACCGCAACCTTTCAGCTCCGCTAGGTTCTCAGTCTGGACTTCTTTTACTTGAGCCAAAAATTCACCAAGTAGTCTTGCAACCTCCTGCCATCCTTTGCCCTTCCTACCTTGCGGGAAGCACACCAGCTGCTTCTTTCCTTGCCCAAAGTGTTCATAGAGTGCGATAAAGGATCCTTTCGTATTCTTTGTACATTCTATCACGCACTTTCTCCCAAGGTTTAAAATGTCGATGTCGATGGAAATGTCGCTTACCAAAATATAGGACATATGTCGGAAATGTCGAGGGGAAATATTGTAAAAATTAGAGACATTGTGGAAATATGCAAAGATATTTTGTAAAATGATAAAAGAAGCATTAATACATATTTCTAGACTATTATCTTATTCCCAACCAT